TAGGAACAGGAACTGCTGTTGGTCTGTTAACTGGGTCATGCATTGATGGGTAGGGGGGGGGGGGGCGTCTAACTTCATCACATCTATCTATATTTGTGTGATAAAAGCTTATCAACGAATTTCATTCGTTAAAAGGCATTTATATGAGAAATATTATCCAGTGTCATGCATTGCCTAATTCTCCTTGAATTAAATCAAGTAATGTGATCAGCTGAAATGTCCCGTTTCTGTATACATCGACATTGTTCCGTCTGATTCCTCTCTATCTTTCTATCTCTTTAGATTAAACTTCATAGTTTTCTTTCTAACATTAATTCTCTTTTTGTCTCTCCTTCCCTAAGGCTTCCTCGCTTTCTCTTTCTCTCACGTTCGCCTATATTCTACAAACTATTATACATGTATATCGATTATCTACATTTTTATTTCCATTTCTTCATCCATTCAGGAGGTCGAAGTAGATGGAGAGAGAAAGAGAGGAGGGAGAGAGAGAGAGAGAGAGAGAGAGGGAGAGAGAGAGAGAGAGAGAGAGAGGAAACTTTAGATAGAAATAGAATGTGGAAAAGGTGGAGAGTAAAAAAATATGAGAGAGAGCGAGGGAAAATACAGAGATCGGTTAAGAGAGGGAAGGTGGAAGCAGAGAGGGAGAAAGAGAAGGGGATGGAACGCTTTTTAAAGAAGAAAGAGGTTGAGACTGAGGGGAAATAGAGAAAGAGCAAGTGTGTGGGTGAGTGTCTGATTGAGAGTTGGGGGAGCAATGTAAGATTGGACGGGGGAGATAAATCAAATAGAGAGATAGATCGAATAGAGAGAGAGAGAGAAAGAGAGAGAGAGAGAGAGAGAAAAGAAAAGAATGAAAAAACTTAATTGTAAACTACATTTTTTTGAAAGGGGTAAACACACACCGCTTTCATCACATCGTGCCTGACATTTTTTTATTTGGTTCATGTTTTATTCCTCCAAACATGCACCCTGCATGGGTGTCGATCCCGGGGGATGGGGGGTTCCCCCCCCCCCAATATTTCAGGTGTGGGGGTGGCTTTTCCATTCCCCCCCCCCAATAATTCACCATCAACAAAAAAATGAAGAGAACAATTAATGATGAGAGCCCGATGAGAGTAGTTGATGGTTATTACTCGCAAGATGACCATGGCTATACACATTTTGCTATCTCATTTTAATAATACATACATATATAAATAGAAAACGAAGTAAATGAGACAACCGTATATGAGACATAAATAAATTGAATTCTCGCTCATACGGCTTCATCAGGAATTGATGAATTTATTCAATTTATTCAATCAACAGCATCATAAAACTGCAGTGCGACAAATGCAAAGCCGCAGCGTCAAAAAGCTGAGCTAAAATGTTAAGCGCGAAGCGCAAAAGTGCAAAAAAGAAGTAGAGAGTGGGAGAGAGAGAGATAATGAGAGACAGAGAGGATAATAACCCAGGTAGCAAGCCCATGTGGGACCCACATGGGTCCCATATTCTCTGAAACATACATGCGCGGATCCAGGATTTCTTAGGGGGAGGGCCCAGGTCGAAATTCCAATAGGATCCGATCCTATTGGACCATCAGAAACCATCTGGGGGGGGGGGGTCGCCCCCACCGCCCCCTGTCTACACGCCTGCGGTCAGATGAACATATTTTGATACCTTGTCCGCCCCCGGAAACTTAGGGGTCTAAGGCAATAAATTACGGTCGGATAAGCATTCAGGGGCCCGTCTTACGGCCCCTGGTGGGGTCCAGGGGGCAGAGCCCCGGAAGCTTAAGGGTTTTAGGCACTAAATTACGGTCAGATGAGTAGAGGTGTTGTGGACGAGTGGATAAGTCGCCGGACTGTGGATCACAAGGTCCGTGGTTCAAGTCCCGCCGCAGCACTAATTATGTCCTTTGGCAAGAGATTGATCTACATTTGCCATTCTCCACCCAGTTGTTAAATGGGTACCCGGTAGGATGCGAAAGCTAATGTGGTTAGATTAGCAAGTGTGCGCATGTAAAAATGACGAATGCTCCCCAGGGAGTGGAGAATGAGCATACATTGTGTGCGGGTAAGCCTGAATCCAATGACCGGGGTAATAACATACTTATCTGTAAAGTGCTTTGTGGGGGCCTCCGGTCCTGAAAAGCGCTATATAAGAACGAGCTATTATTATTATCAAGGGGCGCACCTTAGGGCCCTCGGTTTGGTACAGGGCCAGAGCCCCCGGAAGCTCAGGGGTTTTATGCGTTTAATTACGGTTAGATGAGCATTTTTGTATACCTTATATTGTTGCGACACTGGCAACTATTTTTTCTTTCTTGCTCTCATTCTTTCTTTCTTGCTCTCTTTATTTTTGTTTCCTTAATATCCTTTTTCAACAAAAGTGGAGGGGGGGGGGAGCTCGAGGCTCCCGATCCCCGCTGTTCCACAGGCCCTGACATGTAGGCATCTCAAGAAGCATATTTCTTGCCTGGCTGTAAATTTAGGAATTTGTCATTTTACAACAAACACGTAAAAAAAGTATAATTTACTAAAAATCACGGAAAATTATGCCATTTCAGCATAATGTGTAAACCCCCGTTATGGAATTAGAAATAAATCACGTTTGAATTTTATTTCCACCGAACCCCCTCCCCGATCAGTACGCCAGTGCCCCCCCCCCCCGATCTGATATCCTCCTTCTTTTCTTTTCTTCAATTTTCCTTCCCTTTATCTCCTCTTTTCCTTTTTTTCTTTCCATTTCCTTCCTGCTCTCTTCTTTTTTTGATTGAGGGGAGGCATGCAAGGCCCTTTCGCCCCCCCCCCCCCCCCGATCTCCTTCTTCCCCTTTTCTTTTCTTCATCCTCTTCTTTCTTTCCCTTTCTCTCCTCTTTCCCTTTCCCTTCCTTTCTATTTCTCTCTCTATCTCTCTTTTTTGCAGGGGGGGGGGGGGCAAAGGCCCGCTCGCCCCACTGGATCCGGGCCTGCATCTACCTTATATCTACTAACGTTAGACCCTAATAATGTATCTAGAAGATTGCTTGACCTGGTCTGAGTGACTTGTAAACTTTTCTTTCTCAATTACTTGGTCTAACCGTGAAAACCGTCTAATTTTACTTTAGATTTTCAAACAGTAACACTTACGACCTAAATTAGGCCTAAGCCCAAGGGCTGTACTCTACATTTTAATAACAAATTAACGTTAACATAAACTGTTTTTTCTCTGTGATAGAAATGGAAAAGGAACACTTTTTGTAAAAAAACAAAACAAAACTCTTTCTCCTTTTTTCCCCCCTTTTTTTCCTTATGAATAATTTTTTGGAAGCTATTAAAAGGGGGGCGTGCGCCGTGCGCCCCCACGCTCCCCTGGGTGCACGCAGAATATAAATGGTCATAACTTGGGTTAATTTTGTTTCTACCACATTGTACAGAATGGAAAAAATCCTGGCACTATAATTTTTGTACCATATTCTTAGACGGAAATCGAGGCATGCGGCTTCGTTAAAAGTACTATAGTCCCATTTGCAGGCCAAAGAAATGAAAAAGGTTAAATTCCAACGGCATTTGAAAGATAATACTAATTTAGAACTTCCCTCAAAACGAAAGGGCTTGAAACGTCTTTTGTGGGAAGGAAAAAGAAGTCACCCTCATCATTTCTCTTTTTCTATTCTAGTTAATCATCTTTCGAATATTTGTTAAACCTATTTTCCCCCTCAAATCTTGTCTTTTAACAATTTGATCTTCTTTCTTTAAAAAATACAGATTGTATTAGTAATATTTTTTAAAATGTTGTTGCTTTTAAGCTATTGAACATGTTAAATAATTATACTAAGTTAGTCAGCACCACCTGGGCGCTTAGAAACACCTGTATAAAGCGCCCTATAAATGTAATTATTATTACCCCGGTAGTATTATTATTAAAAATGTAGTTTTCGCATGTTTTCTTTTCTTTCTTAAGTTTCTTTCATTTTGCCTCTCGATCCCTCCCCAAAATTCATTTACATCTCTTTATCTCTTTCACTATCGACTTTCGCTCATTCTCAGTTCCCCCAAAGCATGTCGTGCCGTAGAAATTATAGTTTCTACAATCTATCTAGCACCATGATGCTGACTTAATACACAACATCATGCCCCGGACCTCTCAAAATTAAAAACCTCTGCTGTCTAATAAGCCATTTTCATAATGTAACCAAATTTAATGCATAAGTCATTGTGAAGTGCCTCAATACAAATTATTTCATTCACCTCATAAGAATAATATTTTTTCAATAGACAGTCCACAGTTGTTGCCAGGAAGGACAAACATTATGGCTTGACCTACCTAGCAACACTTAATATATGCAGTTTGCATTCTGACTATTTTATTCTTATCAGGTGAATGAAATAACTTGTATTGAGGCACATCACAAAGACTTGCATTAAATTTTGTTACATTACGAAAATAGCCTATTGGTAAACGGAAAAACACATTCAGATGACATAACGATGCAACAAAACAAACACTATCTTCCTTTAAGTATCCATTAATTGATTTGTTTTTATTATAAAAAAAGGATAATGTACAAACTGGACTAAAACTTTACATACAGGATTGGCGACCAAGATTAAAGTCATACATTACTATACATTCCACATGATTCCAGGCAAAATTATAGAGATTACCTGAAACTCACACTATGAACATGACGGACAAAGAAAGAGGACAAAATATACAGTTCCTCATTCTACTCTCAACAATTGCTGTGGTAGACAAAGGAACATCCCTTCACTGCTATTATGTAAAAATGTGTAGAACAGGTGTCACATACATATTCACCTGTTCTACACATTTTTACATAATAGCAGTGAAGGGATGTTCCTTTGTCTACCACAGCAATTGTTGAGGGTAGAATGAGGAACTGTATATTTTGTCCTCTTTCTTTGTCCGTCATATTCATAGTGTCACAGAGGCAAACAAAGTTGAACCTGGTTAATTTATGCAGCACCAAGCATCAACTGTCTTTAACTGTACAAATTTTACTCTACATGTTATTCTTTGATTACATGAATAATCAAAACAAAATCCCGTCATTAAATACAAATTAGAAATTAAATAAAAAGATTGACATTACGTGAGCTTCATGTGCTTGTGAATTTTGAACATGTATTATGATATCTTTAATTAATTATTAATTAAAGGCCACAAAGGCCATGGGTGAACCTTTGATCAATCGACCTTTACACCCCTACCCAAAATCAATCTTTGTGACTTGGAGATTTATAGGTGCCCATTCTAGATCATCCTATGCATCGTGTAATAAATGGATGCGCTCTTTAGAAAAAGTGGCTGTGCTCTATGAATAATGAACTTAAGGCAGGTTCAGGTGATTTACTTTTACAGTAAGAGGTTGACATTTGGCGAACCATAAAACTTTAAGACGTTTTCAGATATTCCGCAGTAAACCAAGACTTTTTTAACATTGAAGTTCTTATGCATATTTACCTAGCTCTACGTTACAGACACAAAAATGTGATGCATATTACACTCGTGTCATTTAAAAACAAAAACAAACATAAAATGCTACAGTTGACCATGGCTTTAATATCTGAAGGAGGCTTAACTTTACTTCATCAGTCACGGTTTTAAACCTCTATTTAAGTTTGCAGTTTGTATGAATACCAGCAATTGTTATTACAAGGTCTGGCTAGTCTGCAAGCACAGACCCTAATTTGACACTTTATCGAAAAATAATTGTGCCTTGAGAGAAGTCTAGCCCAGCTACAGTTCATGGTCTATGGTAGTCTTATAGTGCAGACTCACTTTTACGACTGACCAGGATTTGTGCTTGCAGACTAAGGTCTGGCTACATGCAGGAAAGCCAATTTTAAAGTGCAAGGAGTCTATGCCGTTACTGATCATTGACTGTTAAACTACACACATGTACAGTTTGGCCCGAACAATATACATTATCACAACTTCACCAATTCCTGCCAAATTTTCACTTCAAGGCCCAGTTTCACAAAGCTTGTCATCAGTGACAAATGACAGTACATGTTATAAGCTACTAAAATCCTTGCTTCTGATTGGTTATCAGCAGATATGTCACTGTTTTGGGGGCCATTTGTCATCGAAAAAGGCTCTGTGAAACACCCCCCTGTTTAATGTATGTAGTAAGTGTACTTTAACATCATTAATCACTCTGAGAGATTTATCTATGTGACTCATAAAGCTGTTCATAAAGTTCATAAAGGTGTTTCATAAAGCTGTTCGTAAAGTTACGCATGACTTTACGAACAACTTGTATATGAAAAGCCAAATGGGATGCTCAATCATTATTAAATACATCAACTAAAGTTGAACTGTGCAGATGTAGATTAACATTCTTATGATAACAAACATTTCTAATGCAAAGGATATTTTCGCCATAATTTAATTGAGGTTATTGAAAATATCAGAAAAAAACTTTGGGCATCCTATCTGGCACTTCATATATGAGTCGTTCGTAAAGTCGTGCGTAACTTTACGAAAGGCTTTATGAAACATCTCCCTGATAGGATGGAGTGCAGATGTGAAAATGTGATTACATTTTTTTCTTCCTTCCAGGGCCCTTTTGCACAAAACTGACCATTTACGGTAACTTTGCCATCAATGGTAACTACCATGGAAACCTTGATTTTGATTGGCTGTTGAGCCCTGTTACCATGGTAGTTGCCATTGACGGCAAAGTTAGCATCAATGGTAAGTTTTATGCAACAGGACCCTGGTGCTGTGTGCAAACTTTCGGACCCATCTGTATATGGATGCAAAAACATTTAACAGAGGGCGGTCTATACTGTCCATGTATATTGTGATCGACAATGATGTATTCATATAACCACATACACATGTACATGGCATGATTACAAACCTTACATGAGGTGGTTCGTGATTACCTGACAATGGATGTATTTATATGTTCACCACATACATAATTATACAGACATATACTTTTAAAATCTATAGTAGGAGCCAAGTGTGATTAAACACAATTAATGAAATAATAGACTACAGTGAAAAAAAATACAAAATTTAAGCGATGAAATACGTGTCATTGGCAGCTGCTTCAATTTCTAAACAGATGATGTGGCACTTTCCTTGAAAATATGTTAAAAGCTCCTTTGCTCATTTTCACAAAACATGTTAGACATGGCTATTAACTTGAGAATTAGTTTCAAAACGATGGAATCATGTACCGGTACTAATTCACTATCGTGCATTCATGAAGTCCATATTGATGAATGAATGGCAAGACCTGAAAAGTTTGCCAGTATGAATCTTTCGCAAAATACACCAGTTGAGATTAATGAAATCTCCATCAAGCAGAATGAATGAATTACAAAACCGATAATTTGCAAGTGGATTCAGCATTGCTGAATGACCATCTTTGCCCTACGGAGAACCAGAATGCTAGAGTACAAGTATCTGTGATCTCCTACGAAGAGATGAATTTGTAATTTTGTATGAAGTCAATCTATACAGGACATATTCCTTTAGATTCTCAACATGCCGTGCTCAGGATTTAAGTACTGCAAGAACATAGACTGTGATAGTAGATGTACACACATATCGTCATCTTTGAGGGGCATGGTTAAAGGGAGTCACTCGTCAGTTTCCATGTGCAGAAGGCCATAACTCGCCGACACCAGACTTGGTGGATACAAATCTTTGAAGTGTGTACAGGTACTAGTACTGCACACAGCGAACCCGTAGGCCAATCAGGAAATACCCTTTCATCTCTCGGAGAGTCTTCAGGTGAGGGAAAAGTGAGATAATGACTTTACCATGTAGGGGAATGGGGGGAAAACGCAGAAAATTACATAAGGCCTGCTGGTCATAAAACTGAACGCTAATTTTGGTGATTGACAGCACCTCTTATTGGGTAAACATCTCTTGTGAATTTCACCAAAGTTTCGAACACGAGAAAATGACTAGTTTTACACGACAGTGAATCTCATTTTCCTTTGGCATGGACCTACTGTAGAACCGCAAACATTTGAATCGCGACGGACACAACACTGAATTTCTGCAAATCACAAAAGCTTCTTGGTACACTTAGCTGTTGGCCACTAATTGTAAAACAATATAATTTTAATAGTACCAGTAATAGTGAGGTTCTGGTTCTACAGCAGACAATGAGGTGGACTATTAACTCGTGTGGGAACCAACATTTCTTCGGTTGATCTTATCGCGCAGGTGAGACGCCTTCATGGCCCATATGTTACAGTAGACATAACAAAACATGAATAAATCTAAAAAACATTTATCGGAATGATGCCACCATGAATTGATCATCATTTATCTTTCCTATGTACAAAGTCATTGCTAGCTTAAAACAAGATGGCCACCGACCGCTAATACACCAGTTTACGGTTATGGGCGCCATTTCAATTTACGAGTAAACAAACCAAATGACCTCAAGAGGTCAATGGTTTATGCGTAAATTAAGGTTGCGCCCATGCAAATTATGATGACATCACTGTCTGCGCACTGCGTTGTGCGCTCACATCATAATTTGCATGGGCGCAATCTTAATTTACGCATAAACCACTGACCTCTAGAGGTCATTTGGTTTGTTTACGACTCGTAAATAAAATGGCGCCCATGTCTGCGCATGCATACTGTTGTAACTGTAAATTGGTGTATACCCCCCCTCTGCCATACACACACAACTGATACCAAGGTCAAAGGTAAATTATACACCAAGAGTATTCAAACATTTCCGTGTACATAAATGGGACATAAATTGAGCAACATTCTTAGAAAATGGCAATCAGCTGGTGTTTTGTTCCATATCAGACTCTTGGTATGTATCACACAAGTTTCTTGACGAGGGCAATCCGATGGATTCACTTGGTGGCCGACGCCTGGGGGGCGTTTCACAAAACTTGTCATCAGTGACAAACGACAATTTTTGTTATAAGCTACTGAAATCCTTGCTTCTGATTGGTTATCAGCAGATTTGTCACTGGCTTTTGTCATTTGTCATTGAAAAAAAGCTTTGTGAAACACCCCCCTGGTTGAATTAGACGAACATCCTCCACATCATTCCATGGCTATTTCCAGTAGGCGACACAAATATTTAAAAGGCAGCTATTGTTCATCATGAAATAATCTGCAAAGAGGAAACATATGAAAGAGGAATACAAATGTGTAATGTGGTGGAAAACAGATCATTTTCTACATTTACAAACAAAAAAATACACCAGTAGTATCAACCACAACACGAACATCACCATCATACCGGTATACAGTTAACAAATAAATTATTCATACATCTTATAACTTTGATGTTTTGTACCAAGTAACAGAACTCACCTTTATCTTTAACTATGGCAGGCCGTACACGCCACTGGTTGCTCTCACCATTGGTCTCTCAATTATGACCTTTAGATAATATTTTGTCCTTCAATAATCAACTATCAAAAAATGTAAATTCTGTAGATTTGTGACCACGATTGGTACGTCCTTTGAGAAACCAATGCCAGTGAATGATGAGAGAAAATAGTGGCATGAACAGCCAGCCTGCCATAGTTATAAAGTCCAAGTTTAAGCCGATCTTAGTCTTTGTGAAACACTCCCCTGGTATGGGATAAAAGTGCTCTGATTACTTTCAAATGAATGGTTGCTATCACTATGAATATGACGGACAAAGAAAGCGGACAAAATATACAGTTCCTCATTCTACCATCAACAATTGCTGTGGTAGACAAAGGAACATCCCCTCACTGCTATTACGTAAAAATGTGTAGAACAGGTGAATATGCATGTGACACCTGTTCTACACATTTTTACATAATAGCAGTGAAGGGATGTTCCTTTGTCTAACACAGCAATTGTTAAGGGTAGAATGAGGAACTGTATATTTTGTCCGCTTTCTTTGTCCGTCATGTTCATTGTGTATCCTTACCTCTCTGACTGTGGACTTAATGAAATCTTTCTTGTGTTGTAAGGGATGTTGTGGGTAGATATCATAGACCTTTCTGCAAACCATCTTCATCGTCACTTCCTCTAGGTTGGCTCCTTCCAGGATCTCCTTTACAGTCTCCTTGATCTGCTTATCCTACAAACAGCCAAAGATATTACAATTTAGAGGTGTCGTGGGCGAGTGGATATGTCACCGGACTGAGGATCACAAGGTCCGCGGTTCAAGTCCCACCGCGGCACTTACGTCCTTTGGCAAGACATTGATCTACATTTGCCACTCTCCACCCAGGTGTTAAATTGGTACCCAGTAGGATGCGAAAGCTAATGTGCTTAGATTAGCAAGTGTGCGCTTGTAAAAATGACACCTGGCTGGAATGCTCCCCAGGGAGTGGAGAATGTGCATACATTGTGTGCGGGTAAGCCTGAATCCAATGACAAGGTTAATAATATATATATCTGTAAAGCGCTTTGAGAGGGCCTTCGGTCCTGAAAAGCGCTATATAAGAACTAGCTATTATTATTTATTATTTATTATTAACAGCACCTTGATAACAATGATTTCTAACCAACTGGAGAGGTCCTAAAATAATTTCCTTGATTTGTTTATCTTAAGACATTAGAAAAGTAAACAACTAAACAATTCTGTAATTCTGCAGTCACAGCAAGAAGATAGATTAAAGGGAAATCCAACCCAAAAGAAAGCAAAAAAAATCAGAGAAGCAAACTGATAAAAATTTCAATTAAATCTGATTAAATATAAAAAAAAAGAAGTTATAATCACTATACGTATGTGCACTTCAAATTGGCTGTAGCAGTAATGTCAATGTGATGTAGTGCTGGACTACTTTCCCATCTGTTTCAACATATAAAATGACTAAAATTTAAATTTTTGAAAAAATCCATTGCTCAAGGGTGGTCTATTCTTTTAAGAGAGCATATACTATTTGGAGTAGTGCCCCAAGGGAGAAGGAACTGATGAGAAAAACAAATTAATGATATTTTTGTACACTGCAAATGGGAGAGTTATCCACGTCCTACGTCACAATCCACTGACCAAACTACCAATTTGAGATTTGCATTGACTTTAATAGTGATCTCATATTTCAAACATTCATAACTTCCTTACTATTGGTCCGATTCATTTCAGAATTTTGCGATTCTGTTTCCGTTATTTTTCTGCTTACATACAAGTCAACTTATTACGAGCGTTGGTTGGATTGCCCTTTAAACACCTGATCTTGAGGGAGCCCAAAATTTAACTTGCAAAGCTCTTGAAAGGCCAAAATGTTTGCGGTTATCCATTAGTTTGATGGCCTTACATGTGTATAAGATACTTTGGATATTTACTTTTTGCTTCAAGTAAATCAATATCTGAAAACTGACCATGCATTTTCACCATTCGAAACCCTGGGATTTAGCTCATATAGTCTTCATGATTTACTTACTAAATTACTAACAAATAACATAGGAAAATCTTGATTTATAACAACACATAATAATCAGTCGATCAAAACTCTATTTACAATAATGAACACAGCCTTGTATGCACAGGACACATTGAAAGCCTAAGAAAAGAAAGAAAGAAAGGAGAAGAGGAGGAAAACGGAGGAGGGGAAGAGGAAGAAGAAAAGGAGGATGAAGAAGAAGACTGGGATAGAGGAAGAAGAGGAAGAAGAAGAGGAGAATGAAGAAAAAGACGGGGATAGAGGAAGAAGAGGAAGAAGAAGAAAATGGGGATAGAGGAAGAAGAGGAAGAAGAGGAAGAGGAAGAGGAAGAAGAAGAGGAAGAAGAAGAGGAAGAAACAGAGGAAAAGGAAGAGGAACAGGAAAAGGAAAAGGAAAAGGAACATAAAGAGGAAGAAGAAAAAGAAAAAGAGAAAAAAAGAAAAAGCAGATTATGCTGTCAAAAGAGAAAGATGTTTGAAAGTGAGACTCAGTTAAGGTATCATTTGAGTAACTTACTGAAGGTGGTGCCTTGATTTTCTTCATCAGGGGCTCCTCATCGGAACTATCATCATCTGTGTAAGAGGTTATAAGAAAAATATTCTACATTATTATCTATATAAGGCTTTCAAGTGGTACAATAAATCAGTGTATTCAATATCTTTAGTGCAGTACCCAGATATGACTGACCAATATTGTTTTCGTATTGCTCAGTCATCCGGGAACTTCAACTATCGATATCAATATCATGGCGATATCACACGAAAACAAAGCTATATTTACCGAGGTAAGTCAAATTTGTTATTTCAGACTAATATAGATAATAATAATAATATTGTATGGCTTTGTTTTTGTGTGATACAAAAATATATTGTCTTGTATCATACTCAAGGCCATCAAATATTATATAATTACTCATGTTCCTAATTTGAATTCTTGATGTCATTTTTGTACTTTACAAATAAGGTTACCTCTACTCACTATGAATATGACGAACAAAGAAAGCGGACAAAATATACAGTTCCTCAGGTAGACAAAGGAACATCCCTTCATTGCTATTATGTGAAAAGGTGAATATGCATGTACACCTGTTCTCCACATTTTTACATAATAGCAGTTTTAATAATAGCCGCTTTATTTGTCAGTCATGTTCATAGTGACTGTCTCTGAAACACTCAAAGTTGAAGAAGTTGAGCAACAACAACAAAATCACGCTATTTACACTTCCTAAGTGTAGATGTAGAGTTAACTGTACTTCATTCAAAAAACCACTTCCATTTACTGCAATGAAAATGTAGACAATGACTTCTTTCTCTTTCTGCTTACACATGCTCATGTTTATTCAGGGCCCCATGGAAGACCGCTACTTATTGGTGAATGGGCTACCCCGTCAGAAGATTGGAAATAAATAAATAAATGTTCTGATGTGGTACACTCACAGCGTGCATTCCAGTTATACAAAGGTTGGGGATGGCAGCACAGGGTGGGGTGAAAAAGGGGCAACATTAAATAATAATAAGAATAATAATATCGAATATTTAGGAGCGCTAAAAACAATAAGTACCATAGCGCTTACAAATACAAATATATGTAAAGAGGACAAAAATGTACAGTACAGGAAGTATATCACATAGATCATTGGGGAAAAAGGTGAGTTTTTAGGGATCTTTTGAAGGTGGCAAGACAGGTAATTTGTATAAATGGGGGGGGGGGGGGGGGGGGGTTGCAGCACAGGGCAGGGAAGGAAAAGTTAACATTGTGAATAGAATTCTAAAAAATTAATAGAGCCTATTAATCTTACCAACAACATCATGATTTCTCTTCTGTGGTGTCTTCTGTGGTGCCTTCTTGGGTGATTTGACAGGGCTTGATTTCTTGGTCTGCTTAGATGGTGTCTTCACAGCAATCTTCTTCGGTGACTTGGTCTTGGTTTTAGCCGAATCTTTCTTGGGCTTGGGAGTTGTCGTCTTGGGCGTCTTCTTCTTCTTCTTTGGCTTGGATTCCTGTTGGTGAGAGAAAAATTGAACAATCATCAAACAAATTCATCAAAGTGGTTTAAATCATTAGAGATTTGTTTATAGGGCACTTCCAAATAAACCTGTGGCATTCATATCTATGGCTGAGACACCTCTACGAGAATGCTCAGTTATTTTTATTTTATTTCATTTCATTTCCAGGAACATAAAGGAGTATAACAATAACAAAGAACACAAGAAAATGAATTACAATAATAAATACAATAACAGGGAAAAAGCCATCAACTAATGCCTGAGGATTACCAAAAGAAACTGAGTTTCTGTAGGAGGCTCTCCTCATTAGTTGATGGTATAATAGTAATTGAAGAGAACCTCCCACAGAAACAGTTAGGCATGCATTCATGACTTAAATTATCGTCAGCAGAGGCTATTTGGTGACTGGTGGAGATAAAATGTAACTTAAAGATAAACTCCAGTTCCGGTAATGCGATTGCATTGTGAAAGAAAAGGTGTGGAATGGATCAGAAACAGTTGATCATGTAGCATGTAAGTATCGGTGTGCACTGCAAGGTTCTGGAGTCATCAAAATCATAATAAATTTGGCCGAGTCTTGGTAAAGTAACAAGCACTGTACACAAAAAGCTATACATGGGACAACACACATGGTGTCGGGGCTAGTACTACCTTGATTTCCTTGTCTTTCTATGCTCATTACTCAGCCAGTATACATTTTCTTCCAAAATTGTTTGGCACATGTCATTTATTTGTAACCTTGAACATTCAATATAAGTTTCGTTTGATTCTGTGAGAATGAATTTTCTTTTTTTTTACCAGAACTGGAGTTTATCTTTAATTGATTCCCAGCCCAGCACTATCAATCATCCTTTGGCAAGGCATCAATCTCTGTTTGCCACTCTCCACCCAGGTGTCCCCATTATGCTACATCTTGGACTGCTTGGCTTTGGCTGGGGTAGTAATGTAAGAGTAGTAGTAGCTCTATACAGATCGAATTTATTTTTCATTTCTTGTCACATAATATAAACAAAATGACAAGCAATAATAAACGTAATGATATAACAGAAGTGAGCATTGAAATATCTTTGGCATTGTTTTTTGGTCATTGTAATGCAAAATGAATTGGTTACAGGAAATGAAAAAAATGAACCTACTTGAAAGCAATGCTTGTTAGGTGTAGGTTCGCATTAATAATTGAACTTTAAACATTTATAACTTAATGTAAGAGTGCCACGGGTGTCACAACAAGATGAACACAAGCAATATAACAGAAGCTGCTGTTGTTGTTGTTGTTGGGTTTATCGGCGCTATCCATCGATTCCAATGATTTCCTACTATTATCTTACATTATATACCTCTCTTTAGTATATTGAATAAATCTAGTCATCTGATTGGTTGAAATTGGAGTTGTGATTTTAGCCATGCCCGCCTACCGGTCAATAGTTTCTTAAAAGATGCCCGGTGCCCCAGGTCGCATGAATCAATTTCGCTGAGATCCACGTTTACGTGTAAAAAGTTTCTTAAAAAATATCTAAACAAGGCCTTATACTTACGCCTTCTGTCATACTGGTATCACCATCTTCTCCTTCTGCATCTCCCTCCGTCCCATCATCCATTGTCGTGTCTCCATCTTCTTCTGTCTCCGTGGACGCATCACCACCCCCTTTCTTTCCTTCACCTTTCTGCTTCTTCGCTTTCGTCTTCTTCTTCTTTGTCCCTTTTGACTTGCTCTTCTTCTTGCCTAAAATCCAAACAATGATCGAGAAGGTGTAAAATGACCGAGAAGGTGCATTTCTGCGTCTCCTCTCAATGAAATATGAAATAGATAATTAAGCGTCTATTATCTTTTGGGAAATTTGTTTTTCACTGGTAAAAGTATAAAGATCAAAATACCAAAAGAAATAATCATAATTATAGAAAATTACAGTAATTTGTTTGTTTTCATAGGTTTATATTCTCTTCTCTCATACAGAAAATTTTACATAAAATGACAAATAATCTTCACATAGGTCTAAATAAATTTGCAAGTGAACTTGAACATTTCCATACAAGGTTACAAATAAATTTTCATATAAAATATATTTGCAAATGAACACATGATTTACATGAGAAAAATATTCACATAAACAACATTATAGTTTCACATTAAAAAAAATAAAAAAACGCACATAAAGTTTTTACAATTTCTGGTAAAAAAAGAAAATGGAATTCTCACAGAATCAAACAAAACTTACACTGAATGTTCAAGATTAGAAATAAATGTCATTTGCCAAACAATTTTGGTAGAAAATGTATATACTACGCCATATCACAGACACTGATAACACATAGGGCCATGCATTTCAGAATTGTACTTGGAGACTACTCACCTTTCTCGGTAACTTTCTACCGGAGGGTTGAGGGTTCAAACAGAATTCCATTATTCTTTCCATGATGACATCTTTGTTTCCTTTCTTCTCCACATCAAGAATGGTACAAATCTCCTTTATTCCTTCCATTGTGAATCTTTAACATACAATGAAAAACACATTTTTTAAATTTTTATTTCTGATATTTAGACAGGGTGACTCGTTATCACCAATAATGGTGGTCTTCCATGAGGCCCTGTTAAACATAATGAGGTACATCAGTTTAACAAATATATATATATAATAATAATAATAATAATAATAATAATAAAATAATAATAATAATAATAATAACAAAATCTTGAACATAAATTCACAACAGCAATAAAGCATAAGTAAGAACACGGATAAACATATATACAAAGTATTTGGTATCCTCGTAATAAAAGAATGGTTTGTTTGTTTTGTTTTGCTTTGCTTTTCGTTCAAGAAAACGTTGTTGCATAATTATAATATTTTTATTTAACATTATAGCATAGACAGTAAGTAATTTTTAAAGCTGACGAAAAGTAACTATTAGCAGTCGTGAGTATGATTGATTGAATGATTGAATCATCTCAGTTAATAATAATAATAATAATATAAAATATTTAGGAGCGCTAAAAACAATAAGTACCATAGCGCTTACGAATACAAATATATGAGAAGAGGACAAAAATGTACAGTACAGGAAGTACATGTATATCACATAGATCGTTGGGGGAAAAGGTGAGTTTTGAGGGATCTTGTGAAGGTGGGAAGACAGGTAATTTCCCTTATGGAAAGAGGGATGCTGTTCCAAGTCTTTGATGCAGCTACTGCAAAACGTTTTTTCAGCTGCTGAGAGTCTCGATGTGGGAATGATAAGTTTACATGTGTCGGTTGCTAAACGAAGATTACGAGTTGGTGTATATATCCGGAAGGGTGTCATTGTGATATTGAGGTGCCAAATGATTGAGTATTTTGAAAGCATACAGACAGAATTTAAACAGAACACGTCGGTGGAGAGGTAACCAGTGGAGCTCCTTAAAGGTACTATGTCCCATTTGCAGGCCAAAAAAAAAAAAAAAGTTAAATTCCAAAGCCATTTGAAAGATAATACTAATTTAGAACTTCCCTAAAAAAGGTGGGGCTTGAAATTGTCTTCAAGTGGGAAAATAACGACTATTAGTTGTCAAATCGACTAAGGAGCTATAGAGCCGATAAGTAATAGTCTTGATTTTCAGACCATTGTACCGAATGGTCATACGTTTTATGCTGCGCAAAGATTCAATCAGTTTAATTTTGGCCATCACAAGAAGTGGGTTATTGATGTAGACAAATGTTCATGTACCCTTTACAGCTCATTTTATATATGTTATTACCAAAGAAGAAAAAAGCCAGTCAGTCACTCAATAGTGTCTGACAGTTAAGTCTAGCAAGTAAACGGGTTTCCATGCATAATTTGAATATTAGGACACTGCTAATGTTTAAATTTCACAGATAGGACATACATGACATATTCATAATACCTGCAAAGTTCTACAGAATTTGAGGTTAGCTGCAAAAGGGACATAGTACCTTTAAGTAAGGGTGAAGTATGAGTTCTTGACCCAAGGCCAAAGATTAATCTAGCGGCACGATTCTGGACAGTTTCAAGTTTCCTTCTATCTTTAGCACATAAAACAGTATAAAGACTATTGTAATAATCCAACCTAGAAAGAATTAGAGCTTGGACATCATGGTGACATGTCTTAAAATCAATGAATCTACCAGAATAGGCTTACTTGACTAAGAGAGCTTCTCTCTTTGTGTAATCAGGATCTTCTTTACTGAACTCAAATCCTGAGAACTGTCTGATGTTTCTCTTGTTCTCTCTAGGATCCTGTAATGTGGGAAGTGTAAGGAAAATCATCAAAAATTATGCATTCATTACTAAATTAACAAACAGTATATAAACTCGAAAATAATATCGCTAGTGAGATTCGTTTGTCTCGCAATGTATGGTCAAGAGGGGATCTAAAGATCACGACGTTTCGTGCTCCGCTGCAACACTTCGTCAGGTGATAAATATAACTTAAGCAAGCATGTTTTATACTCTACGGGCGGACCGTCGGTGAAATAATTCGATCAATAATTAGAACAATAACGGACAAGGCCTCTTGACCGAAGCACACGGGTGCTCAACCAATCAACAGGCTGCACAAAACGTCGTGATCTTTAGATCCCTTGTTGACCATACATTGCGACACAAACGAATATCACTAGCTGAAGCGAAATTATTTTTCGATACTACATCCGCAATGAGTAATATATTTAGCATTAATATATAAAAACTGATTACAAGTTATAAATTGAGATATGGTATGAGATGGCAAGCAAAGATCTTGGTTTGAATCCAACCCAGGAGGATGACTGAAGCCTGCGTGTATCATGAAACATGCAGGCCATGTTACAGTGGAAAACAACTTCTTCCCTTGAATAGGAGACTTATCACGGATGGTAACTTCCATGGATTACTTGATTTTGATTGAGTGTTAAGCAATATTACCATGGTAGTTACCATTAATGATAAGTTTTGTGCAACAGGACCCAGGTGTAGTAGTCCACCTGCACACCCCCTATCAGCTAAGTCACCAAATACTCTACTACCACTACTAAAAAGGAAAAGGAGGAGGAGGAGGAGGAGGAGGAGGAGGGAGGAGGAGGAGGGGAGGAGGAGGAGGAGGAGGAGGTGAAGAAGAAGAGGAGGAGGAGGAGGAGGAGGAGGAGAAGGAGAAGGAGAAGTAGAAGGAGGAGGAGGAGGAGAAGGAGAAGAAGAAGAAGAAGAAAAAGAAGAAGAAGGAGAAGAAAAAGAAGAATAAGAAAAAAGAAGAAGAGAAGAAGAAAGAAAAAAAATATGTAGACTTACTCTGACCATCTTTCCGAACAAGAATTTATGAAGAGGTTTAAGATCCTGTGATTTTGTCTTCTCCAAAAAATGTGCAACTAGAACGAAATAAGAATAAAAAGAAAGACGATAAGAGATTAGAAAATCAAGGTCATGAGGTGATTAAAGGTATTACAAAGTTTTTGGGAAATTTTGAAAAATGGGTTGATAGTGATTCTTTACAATTTTAATATATTTGGATGCCCCTGTGGATGTGTTACAAACACCAGAAATTTTAGCCCCTAAAACACTTCTGCTTTCGAGAAAAATTGAATATAAAGTGCTCCCGGTAAATTTTGATAAATTTCAAATAGCTCCTACGGCCGTACAATGGTAGCTGTGACCATGAAAATCTCAGAGTATGTAGTTGTGGTATATAATTTCCAAACGAGAATAGCTAATCAGTCAATTTTAGTCAATAAACATTGTTTTATAGCTTAATTAATATCTTGACCTTGAGAAGGAGCTATTCAACATAAAGTGTTTATTATTTACAATTTCATAACTTTAGAGTCGATTTCGACCGCGACAACGATCACTGAATATTGTAGAATCGTTTATGCTTCCAATATGGTCATTTGAACCAAATTCATGACCCCATACCAAAACTTTGTATTACCTTTAATGATAATAGCAATTATCATACATCGGTAGAACTAAGTACAAAATGACGCCAGCAATTACATTAATATAAGAACCTTGTTAATCCAAATATTCATACAAATAATCTTTTTCTTTACCACAAAATTGTAGCATTTTGGTATTACTAAAATCATAACGCATTGAAAATTGTGAAAGTACATTTAACAAAACAAATTCAGCTAAAGCTACCTTAAGCCCTATCCTCATTATAAATAATTTCTTCCTTTTTTACAATAAAAAAGGTGCTGTTGCATGAGACTTTGAACAAACTTTAAGACCCTAAAAAAAATTTTAAAAAAATCTCTATGAATGGAAAGCTGAACGAACGTAGATTTACAATTACATATCCCTTTTCAGTATTGCACAAAAGCATATTAAAACCTCATTTTCCGCACCCCTCTAAACTATGGATTAACAGGTGCCAAACTTGCCGCAGTTACGGTGACAACATATGGACCTTGGCCCCATTTCACAACACTAGTCATCAGTGACAAATGAAAGTTTTTGTTATAAGCTACTGAAATCTTTGCTTCTGATTGGTTATCAGCAGATTTGTCACTAATTTTTTTGTCATTTGTCATTGAAAAAAAAGCTTGGTGAAACGAGTCCCGATCAGCTCGTTTATATAGCCGAGACAATGACCCATGCTTAATTAATGCAAAGTCATTTTGACTATGCGACTCCACATAAGATGATGTCATCAAGTCGACAGCTGGTTTTTAGATCGACAACTTCGAATTTCAAAGCATTAGATATTGAGTTTTCGGAGAGCAGTAACCCCTCTGACAGATACTAAAGTGCCATATAATTGATATAAATGTAATATTAGGCTTTTAAGCTTTCTGTTGATATAAAATTATTCCATTCTATTTTTCACTTCTGACATGGTCTTTAATCTATTTCGGAAAAGATTTGTTTATTAGATAATATGAATCCAGCTTACTCTTACAAAGTTTGGAAAAGAATCTAAAACAAATACTTAAAAAAAAAAAAAAAATCAATATTACTTGGCCTTACATACGAATATACAATAAGCTCACAAACCTATTGGAATATCTCCAATTTGGACCCCTTTGCCGACAGGTACAACAAATTTCTTCTCTGGTGTCTTGGGAGTTTCTTTCATGACGAGTCTCTCAACCTTCTTACGATCTCTCTTACCGGTCATTATCTGAACAGGAGCTTCAACAGAACCCACTGAGATTTGTTTTGCATGAGATAAAATGAGAGAAAAACACAGCATTACAAGATTGTTTCTGGTCATAATAAAGTCAAATCTGCCAATAGCGACCGCCCAAGGGAAACACAGAGAGTGGTCTTTGTAGACAGGTTCCTTTAGAACAGGCCTTCTCAACTGGCGATGCTTGCGGTCAGTCGGAGTGGCGCGCGACTGTTGCAACAACAAAACAGAGAACAGAAAGAAAGAAAATATATATTTTAGAATTAAATACTCAGCTAAATCAAGAAGTTGCAGTCGAATTTGAGCCCAAAATGCCTGCTTAACAAACAGGAAGAAAGGGGAATTTATCGTTATTTACCATTTTATACGAATCTAAACCTAAGGTCTGAACAACAATTAGCTTACGATGGGATACCAATTTTAACATTGCCAATCTCTGGAAACATCTTGTTTTTGTTAGTTTGATTTTCACTTTATTTTGACATTTCCCGTGTTTATTGCACACAAGAAACTACACATAAATTTACCTCCAGTGTAATTGTACACAGGAATTGTACTAATTTTATCACATCAATATGAAATTATGATTGATTATATTGTGGAATGAAATGGTGCTAAAAATGCCCCATTTGGACATTTAGAAAGCCCTAAATCCACCAGCTTCAGGGGCCTCTGCTCCCTGCTACCTCCCGTTAGGGCTTCGCCCCTGGACCCCACCCATTTTCGGTTCGGTCGCTACGCTCCCTCGCAGCAAAGTCAACCATACAGGGTGGTACTTCAACTACAAATTCTTTTTGTTTTGGCACTTCTAATAAACTAGTTGAGAAGTCTGCTTTAGAACATGTTTCAATGAAAAACCAATTTCAAGAGAAACAACAAATATGGATTATGGTCTTTGTAGACAGGTGGTCACTAAAGCAGGTTTGACTGTTTAATCCGGGGCCAACCTGGTATAATACGACTACGGATAACGCGACCGCAGTAGGCCTACGTATTCACGAGCCTGCAACATACTCGAAACAGCCTTCCATATTTGTTAAGTCCATCTAGAGATAAGTTTAACTTAGGATCATAGTGAAACACCCCCATGTAGCATATATGTTTTGTCTGTTTATGTTGGAGTTCAACTTAGTTATGTTCATACTTACATGGTAGTTCTTCATCTGAAGATGACTCCTCTTCCTCCTCTTCCTCTTCTCCTTCCTTGTCTCCACCTCCATCTTTCTCATCTTTCTGTTCTGCATCCTCTTTCCCATCTTCTGCAGCTGCGTTGCTTTTCATCTCTTCATCCTGAATTAATGAATGAAAATAATGAAAAATGTCTCAAAACAAGCACTTTTGGTTCAAGCATACCAGTGCCGCCCCGTCTTATAAAAAGATTCAAATCATATTAAAGGTAAAGACCAGTTATGGTCATGCGATTGCATTGTGAAAGAAACGTTGTGGAATCGATCAGAAAAGGTTGATCATCTAGCATCTAGCATCTGCAAGGTTCTGGAATCATCAAAATGATAAGAAATTTGGCCCATTCTTCGTTATGTTACAAGCACTATACACAGAAAGATGTATATGGGACTACCCTATATCTCTCACAGACCATGAGAGAAACAAATTTACCAAATATATGAATTAGTAGGCGGTTTCCCTGCAAATTTTTTATCATCATGTAATAGTCAAAACATATTCTTTCACATGATTGGTAATGAGAGCTTCCATTTCATTTTTTGAAATTGGGGCGTTTCCAATACTGGTCTTTACCTTTAATCGCAAATAAGTTACGATAGATATCAACTCTTTATAAGACGGGGCCCTGAGCTGATAGTGGGTGACATCAAATTTGATTGGTTTTAATTTTTGTGGCCAGGAAAAATGAATAGGGATATTACAAAGGATATAGGCTACTAGATTTATTTGTCAGTAAAGAAACCTTTATAAAGTCTTCTGATGTGGACTGTTGTATGCACACTTCCTCAAATATCTTTTTTTTTTTTCCAGATCTAATCTATAGGCCTAGACCTAGTCTAGATCAAACTTATTCTGCGTTTGGCTTTCTCTCTTTCTCTTTCAATAATCATCTCACTCTTTTCCAAGGCTTTGCGCCTTTCTTTACCGAATCTGTGTCATGACACCAAGTCCTATCAAAGAGCGCTAATATTCTTTCACACAGGGTGCGCATGCTTCATTCCGTCACATGCGAGTTACTGTACGTGTTGTCGATGGCAATGCCAATTATGAGGAAACCGTCGCCATGGGTTTGGGTTGAGCTGCGCTCACGCCTACCTACTTAGTTGATCCGAAAAATGTAATAACTTGTGATTCCTTGGGGCTAGCGAAAAAACAAGCGCATGGATCAATTCCTTACGACTGGGACTGTAATCGATCGGGCTGTCGGTTAAAAAAGTGGCATATTTTGGAGCTAGGATGCAAACAACATTTAAATCGCTGTTTTGACCAAGATACTTTTAGAAATCAGAGATGACACTCTTTTGGAAATACAGAGATTGATCTGCTCTTTCATACGACACCTCATTTATGGAGTATCACCTTCAGGATCACAACAAATAAAAGTTTGAATCTCAATTAGTCTTTACAAACTTTGACCAAATTTGCATGGTCGTGCAATGCACAGACTGCACTGCACAGGGATGCGTGCAATCTCTATGGGAAGAATTTTAGGACACAACATCCAGAACCACCAAGTGTCAAGTCACGCATTAGGCGTGTCGTCACACATTTCGAGGGTCTGAAAACGCTCTCACGCATGCGTTAAGATTTTAAAAAAAACGCTATAGATTTCTACCTCATACGTGTGTTATACCCTCGCACGCGCGCCGAATCATAAAAATGTCACGCATTGCAGATCTTTGATTGAACTTGGCGTCTCTGAACATCAGGTGCGCAATCAGACACCCTAACCGTACAGAAGTCTACATGATGTGTGACAAGATAAAATTGGCCGCAACACTTTTGCCCATCTTGCTGCTTGCTGAGGTCACAAGTTGTCACACAACCCTCTATTGACTTGTGTGGTTAAACTAGTTAAGGGGGGACCAAATATCAGTGTTTTTTTAACATTAAAGTTATTTCGCTATTTGTTGACCTAGGGTGATATGATCGCTGAATATGCACGACTCGAACTAACAAAGCCCTTCTCAACCTCGTGGCGTCGTGCATATTCAGCGATTTCGAGCGATCGGCGCTCGATAGCATGAATATTCATATTTTCTTCGCCACTGCCGCGCATGCGTACCTTCTCATCGCTATTTTGAATCAACGCTGTGGCATGGAAGAATCGTTGGTGTAGACCTAGATCTAGTAGTACCCCAAATTAACCTTTTTCCCCCATCGAAGACTTCTTCAAATTATACATTCAAGTGATTGGAGTTGAGCCCTGAGGAGTCGTGCACCCTATGATGTAAAAATTGTAAGTACTCCCTTTGCAGATTTAATGATAATATCACCCAATCGGCTGTTTTACTAGCCCCCCCCCCCCCCCCCCCCCCCCCCCCCCGCGAGAAACCAACGAAACCACCCGAAGCTCCGACGCCTGCGGCGCCGGTGTTGGAGCTTCCCGGAGTTAATCTAGGCGCAGGCCTAGCCTAAACACATAATTCACACAGCCAACAGAACAGGGTCAAATCAATCATTTCTTATATCCTTTTACTTTCATCATCTTAAATTATAATACTGACATAGAGTCTACAACGAGCAAAAACTTGCACTCACTTTCTGTTCATTTCCCATGGTATCACCGTTCGGTGTTTCGTCGGAGGACATGGCTTTTTCAATCACACACACGTTTTACACGTAAATCAACGGATAAGGTTTGCAAAATGGCGGCACCCATGGCGCGCCCGTGTTAACCAATGGGCAAACAGTACTGATGAAAACTGTGCATTTTGCGCCATCTGCGGCATACAGTATCACATGGTGGGTTGAAGTGGATAAAAAAAAATGAAAGGAATTAAAAAGAAGGAAGAAGAAGAAGAAGAAGAAGAAGAAGAAGAAGAAGAAGGAGAAGGAGAAGAAGAAGAAGAAGAAGAAGAAGAAGAAGGAGGAGAAGGAGAAGAAGAAGAAGAAGAAGAAGTAGAGAAGAAGAAAAAAGAGGAGGAGGAGAAGGAGGAGGAGGAGGAGAAGGAGGGAGGAGGAGGGGGAGGGGGGGGGGGGGGGGGGGGGGGGGAGGAGGACTAAGGAGAAGAAGAAGAAGAAGAAGAAGGAAACTAATTCGTGTATTGATTGTTTCAACGCCACAACGTTAGTGCAAACAAAAAATATTTCTATATGATTCAGTGATTACTCTTTATGATTTATTTATTTTCATAAATGATGTATTGTACGGGACTATTACCTTGAATAGCTCTTCTCATAGGAGTCCGATAGTTTTATTACTTTTCTTACGGAGTCATGTCCTGCCTGATCTCACCAAAACAGTCACAGGCTGCTAATTTTGCTGCTAATTTACCTCTCCAAAGGAGGAGTAAAGAGCACTTTTGGGGGGTCCAATTTATTATTTAGCAGCGACTCAGCTAGCCAGTGAATAAGCGGGGGGGGGGGGGGGGGGGGGGGGGGGGGGGGGGGG